AAGCAATTACATAATGTAATTTTTAAAACTTAATTTATGCTGATTCTTAATTTTGACATTAGAATATGGTTAATGAGCCATTTCTTATTTACAAGATGATGATTAATTTATTTACTTGTGATTTGTATCAAGCTATATTTGGATTGTAATTTGAATTCAATTAAAATGCACAAAAAGAGCATTTCTCTCACCTAAATGAAAATACTTTAATAGTGGCAGATACATACCAAAGATTTTATTAAAACATATTTTACATTTGAAGCTAAATAAACTATTAAACAAAGGAAGTATTCTCTGTAGTTAACGCACTGAACACCTTATTGCTGGTCACCATGCCCGTCAAGGATTTCAGAACTAGTAGATTTCACACTGTCACACCTAGTTTTTATTAACAGACTTGAAGAGGAAAACAAGCTTTTCTGTTTTTCCAACTTTGTTGTGTTCCTCCCTTTGAATGAACGGGTGGTTGAACTGAACTGGCTCACTGAACTCAAATGAAGAAGATGATTTGCTCTGCACAAGCAGAAGAGGCTACTGTTATCAAAAACGGGTTTAGTATTTAGTGATCTTGGGTTCCAGGTGCCGACCCCAAAGACTTCCACCAGTTCAGAAGACTTTTGCCAAAAGCTGGGAATGAGTGACAGGCGAAGGATCACTTGATAATTCCCTGTTCTGCTCATTCTCTCTAAAGCACCTGGAATTGGCCCCAGTGAGGAGACAAGATACTGGGCTTGATGGATGTTTAGTCTGATCCAGTCTGGGTGTTCTTATGTTCTATGTTCTCGAAATACTGTGGCAGACACACACTGCCTAACATTGTTTTGGTATTTAATTTAAATGATTTTAATAGTTTATAAGAAGTTTAGGTTGTTAATTTCATATTTAACTTTCAATAGGTTTGGTTTTTAAAAAAAAACTGCATTACATTTTAAAAAAAATCCTTAAAAAATCATTTATTTGTATCCACTCTCCAAGATCCAAGAGCTGGAAGTTAAAACCAGACAAGTCAGATACACAGCGAAGATTTTCAACAATGAGGGTAATAGTCACGCCCTCTGCCCTTCCCCTCATGTTTCTCGTGCGCTGGAGGCCCTGCACTTACCTATTCCTTCCCCTCCCTCCCAGCACTTTCTGGAGCGCTGAGAATCAGCTGATTCACGCCCCGTTTCTGCACCTCCCCTTCTCTTCTAGAGCATGGACACGATTCGTGGTGCTCCGGAAATGCTGGGAAGAGAGGGGAAGGAGGCAGGGAAGAGGCCGTGCGGGGGGTTGATGGAAGGTGTGGAGTGGGGGCAAGGCCTGGAGCAGAGAGAAGGGTAGAGCAGCCCCTGGCAAAATGCGAAGGAGGGATGTAAAAAGTCGTTTACACATGTAACCGTGTAACTGCTAAAAATCCCAGCGGTCACGTAGTTACACGTGCTGAGGGTTCTGCAGTATAAAGCTTGTATAGAGGCTTTATATTGCACAGTCCACAGCAACAGCTTCCCGGGAGTGGGGCTGGCAGCCCCTGCCGTCCCTGTCCCCAGGGAGCTAGTACGTAATCTGCAGTGAGGGGACCTGACCCACCACGGATGGGGGCTGCCCTGGCCGGGGGCCGGAGCTGCCCCCTGCCCAGGTTGGGCGGAGAGCTGCTCCAGTCCCGACTGGTTAACCAGGTGAAGGGTGCAGCTTTCCAGTTAACTGGTTAACCATTTACATCCCTGATGCGAAATGACACCTATTAAAAGCAAGGACACACACGAGGCGCATGCTGATTGTGCACAACACCGTGAGAGCCGTGCCATTTCACCCGCCACTTCTTTGTTACTTTGAATTTGCCCCCGATAACGGATCGCTGGGTGTTGAAAAGGCTCGATAAAGGAGAATCGAGTGCCATGTATTTTATCCTATTCTTGGGGTCCTGCCTCGTTTCAATCTTGTGGCCCTTGGAGACGGAAGAGGGCCCCTCACGTGTCCCACCCATTAGCCTTGACTGCCCGTCGCTGCTTTAGATCAAGACTAGGCGGCTTTCCAGAAGATGCTTTAGTCAGACAAGTTACAAGGCTCAACTCAGGAGGAAGTGGGTGGAATTTAAGGCCTGTGCTCTCCAGGAGGTCACACTAGATAATGTGAGGGAGCAGGCCGAAAGGACGAGAGGAGCAGGCGATGGGGTGGAGAAGGGGCTGGGGGGACTGAGGAGAGGCGATAGAGATGGGAGATTGAATCGGATCACTGCTCCCACTGGGGACGCAGAGCACATGCCCCGGCTCTCCGGCTCTAATCACATTCCCTCCAAGTGGGCTGGAGAGCCCCAGGAACAATGCAGCTGACGAGGCTGCCAGGAAGAGACCAAAATAACCTCCCCACAAGGGCCACTTGAAGGAGAATGGGCGATCGCTCAGCTCTGAGGCCTTCACGGCTGGGTGCTGACAGCTCACAGCGAGTCCCTGAAAACTCATCCTCAGGCCTGAGGGCTCGGCTATTACACTGAAGCACCTCACAAACCACACATCAGTGAGCGAGCTCCCAGGGACACACAGAGCCTCAGCACTAACCGCCCCTCAGGGACCCTTCTCTGCCCGCAAGTGCCGCCGCCGCCCACCCTTCCCAGCGTCAGCAGCAGGCTGTGGCTGGGCCGGGGATGCCCAGCACGGGGTGTCCCGGTCAGCGTGTGGGTGAACGAAAGGGGCAGCTGCCACGGAGGGACGGAGCAGAGACTGGGAGTCGAGCAGTCTGGGGTCAGAGTCACGAAGGCGGAACAGTTTGTACAGAGGGGTGCTGAGAGCCACTGAACACAACCATAAAGCCTGCCGGAAAGCACTTCAAGCCAAGGGGGAGGCAGAATCCCCAGCCAGAAGCAGCAAAGCCTTCCTAGAACAATGTGAGAGAGAGATAGAGAGAGAGAGAGAGAGAGAGAGTGTGTGTGTGTGTGTGTGTGTGTGTGTGTGTGTGTGTGTGTGTGTGTGTGTGTGTGTGTGTGTGTGTGAGAGAGAGAGAGAGAGAGCGTGTGTGTGTGTGTGTGTGAGAGACAGAATGTGAGAGAGAGAGAGAGAGAGAGAGAGAGAGGGGTCCATCAGTGCACAGATGGTTTCAACAAAAATACCGAACACACTCAACATTACATCACAATCTACATAACATCGGATTTAGAAAATACCCGACAGTTCTATTTTTTCCAATTTGTTTCCCGAACAGAAAGCTCAAATACTGGACTGTCCGGTTCAAAACCCGACACCTGGCAGCCCTACTCCAAGGCCCCGCCT